ATACACGACATATTTGCATGGGATGGGATAGAGTTAAATTAAAATTCAAACCTATCTTATAAACATGCTGTAGCGTTCTATGAATTCTACAATTGCCATCAGTCAATTTTGGCATATCAAAATAAATGCAGTTGATTTGTTCATTGAAAGTGAGGTTGTCAGTCCCAGATAAACAATGTATAACATCAAAATTGAAATTCAAAATATTATTTATTTGTTATTGCATTCAGAATTTGCTTTTTGATTTTTTGATACAATGTGGCAAATGCTTTGTAGTATTATATGATTCCAGACAAATTTAAACATCGTACACAAATTTATGTAAAAATTAAAAAGAAAAATCAACATTTTGATGACAAAAGTGTTTAAAAAGGCAGAAATTACTGACACGAACATTAAAACAAATTCAACAAGTGAACAATCAACAAAAAACTGACAGTATAAATACAAAAATACAAATGTATGTGTATATGTTTGTAGTATGCAAGATGTGTGGAGAACACATGTTCTGCCATGCAGTGGATGGATGGATTGAGTGCCGTTCATCGTTCACTTGATACGAACGAAACTACACGAATGGCAAAACAACAACTCGCACGACGCACACTTCTTCCACTGCTACTGTTTGTGCTGTCCTGTGGTCCCGTCCGCAGTGGCATTCCAATTGGCCGCATGTGCCCGCCTGGTGTGTATATTTATTATGTAACTTTATACGATTTCTCTTTTTCATACATTGATGTAAGCGCAGCTTTATATAATGTATGTTCGCTTTATTCTGTATGTTTGTTTGTCTCTGTATGTTTGTCTCTGTATGTTTGTTGGTTTGTCTCTGTATGTTTGTTCATTCGTCTCTGTATGGTTGTTCGTTCGTCTCTGTATATTTGTTCGTTCGTCTCTGTATATTTGTTCGTTCGTCTCTGTATATTTGTTCGTTCGTCTCTGTATATTTGTTCGTTCGTCTCTGTATGTTTGTTCGTTCGTCTCTGTATGTTTGTTCGTTCGTCTCTGTATATTTGTTCGTTCGTCTCTGTATGTTTGTTCGTTCGTCTCTGTATGTTTGTTCGTTCGTTTCTGTATATTTGTTCGTTCGTCTCTGTATGTTTGTTCACTCACGTGTGAACGCTTCGTTTTGCAGATTTGTTACGCGTTCATTTTACATTCAGGTGCGTACGTGCTTAAAATGCATCTAGAAATATAACAACATATATCATCCATTCATGTGTGCGCACACACACAACACCACACACACATACAACACCACACACACGCACAACACCACACACACATACAACACCACACACACATACAACACCACACACACATACAACACCACACACACATACAACACCACACACACATACAACACCGCACACACATACAACACCACAACACAAACAACACCACACACACAACACACACACACAACACACACACGAACGACACTCACCTCCACACATTCGAACTCACATGCACATAAACAGAAGACATAAACACAGGCATTGGTAATAAGTATGTAACAGGTTTGTAAACATAACGACGACGGTTACGGTGATGTCACATTAATCATTATCATGATCTTCGTCATCTTCATCCTCCATGTCACCTGTCCCACTATCACAATCAACACCATCTTTTCATCCTATCTTCAGCGCCTGCCTCGATGGATTTTTAATTTGGGATGGAATTTCGGACCCGCCATTGAAACTTTTATTTCAATCTTACTTTCATTTTAAAAACTCTCGCTGGGAAGCTAAAGACATGCCAACGCCGTAAACAATTTTTTGTCACAAAACTCAATGGTTACGAAGTTAAACTCTCTGTTCACTTGCGCCGTGCTACTCCTCACAAACAAATATAATTCATCGAGCGTTTTAACACTACACGAAACTGTTACGCGATTCTTCCTATTATGAAGCAGCACAGATGATGTCGTTTTTGGAGCGTGCGTGAAGTTCCGCATTCGCCAAACATTTGAAAACTCTGTTGAACGATTGAAAAAATAGTTTAAAAGTGAAAAAACCAAATTGATGTGATGACTTGGGATCATCTGCTTACACGGTGGTTATCAGTTATCACCGTCCAGTTAGCTTCACAGATTTGTAGTTCGGTTGCTCTGCCTCTACTTGTTCACAAAAATCTTCGATCATGTTTTTGCCAAAGTTGAACATTTCTGCTGGCGGCGAAGATGTCGAATCGAGGAGAATGAGCACTGATGTGTTTTTGAATTGTTGTACGTTTGTTTCTGTTTGCATCTGCCCGTCTGTATTATATGTACATCTTTATGAACATTTAAATTACAAAGTTTTTTGTCCAGTTTTTTTTAGTTATTCAGTTAGCTGGTTAATTAATTAATTAATTAATTAATTAATTAGTTAATTAATCAGTTAATTAATTAATTACATGCAAATGAATTTGATGTTTCCACTAAAACTTCCAATCAGAATCCGTCAAACGTATGAAAATGACGACCCTGGCAAAACCCACCCCCAGCAGCATGATTCGCACGCCAACCAGCAAACTTGAAATGAATGGATGGAAAGTTGAATGAAATTTTATGAATGAAAAGTTGAATGATATTTTTTCCTGGTGAAACTTCTTATGGGCATTCATCGATAAATTGATTAAGAGAATCAATCCCACAAGACTGGTACACTATGAGCGAGTTCATCATCATCACCATCATCATCACCATCATCATCATCATCATCATCATCGTCGTCGTCTCCATAATCATCATCATCGTCATCATCCCCACCATCATCATCACTCCATAATCATCAACAGCATTGTTTTTATTATTATAACTCGGCGCTTCATAAATAAATATTAGCACATATGAGTGTCACTTTGCAAACTTTAACCTTTGGGTGATTGGAATTAAGTGAAATAAAATGAAGAGGTTTCGAGTTAGCGAGTGCACGAAGAACGTACAAGAAGCATTACTATGAATTACTTTCAGTATCTTCTTTATTAAATTTTTGAATGATTAATTCAGTCATTCATTCATCCGTCCATTCACTCAACCATCCATGCATCCATATATTCATGCATCCACCATCCATGCATCCATACGTATACCTATCTATCCATTCCCACAGTCCAGGCATGTATCTCATCAATGCATATATCCATCCATGCATCCATCTATCCTTCAACATAGCATTCGATCCATTCCACCATGCATCCATCCATCCGTCAACGCATCCACCTACCCATTCACCCACCCATCCATCCATCGTGTCAGTATTAAAAGCGCGTACGATTCAATTCGCCATGTGGATCGTTAATTGACCGGGTTAGTAGAAGTGATCCTTTCGAAAAAAAAAACATGTTTTTGTTAGTGTCAATGCCGTCTGGTTTATTATTCTATCGGGCGTGTGTTAAGTTAGCAGGCGAATTTGTCTAATGAGGTCAGGTGGAAGGTAACTATTTATTTCACTTTCGAAACGTGAGAGGCCTGCGAATGAAATCTGACGTCACATATCCATCAAATGATGAATATATGACATCATATTTAGATATACATTCCTTGTATTCATCAGACATTCATTATATTCCACGTACATTCATTATACCTCACATACATCTGACAGAGGAATCAAATGTTCTAATTAAAGACGTCCAGATGATGGGAAAATAATAGTGACAGGTATCTGCTGGATCATCCTTAAATGCGTTTGTTTAATTGATTTATGATTTGAAAACCGTGTGGATGGATGTTTGTTGGGAGTATGCTTAAGTTTTTAACTTGAAATTTATTCAAATTGCTTCCAAATTCAAGAGTCCTCTAAGAAGGGCTTCTAAAATGATATTTTTCAAATGTAATTCGACCGAGTATTTTAACATAAATAACCCAAAAACGTGTTTAACTCTTTAATTCATAAGAGGGACTAATTTATTTTTTAAACTATGATACCTTGCAAAATTTTTACTATGGGGCTAAAATATTATTGTGCTGCTTGGCATGACGTTGTGTTAAAATTTCAGAGGGATCACACTGAAATCAATTTGTTTAATTAAAAATAAAATATTTCATTTGTTATGGTAGCATACTGTTAATAAGGGAAAGGTAAGTATCATTATTATTTGACTACAACTACAAGCAAATTAATGTCGATGATTTAGAATTTATTCAACATTTTATATTGATACCACCAGATTTTTCCTTTTAGCATTGTGAGTTGGTTTTTTCACCAGGACCTACCAGGCCCGGATTGAGCTTTCAGCTGGCTCTAGGCAAAGTACCAGACACAAAGTCTTCATTTTCTTAATTATTACTGAAACCAAATCGCGAAATATCAACCACAGTTTTATTATCTGTTAAGATAATTACAATTATTTAGTTTCTCACTTTTACAAATTACGTATTTTTTGTATTTTACGGCTTTGTAACTTCTAAAATAGTGCTTTAAAGTGCCTTGTAAGTATATAACTGATTTGTTTCTGTTGTTTTCAAACAGGTGTAATAAAATTAATACTGAAATATTATGTAATAAATTTTTTAATATCCTCAAAATTATCACTATCAAACGGAAATCTTAACCAAGCTACGTCAAATTAAAAATGCAAAATCTGAGAAAAAGCTGATAAATTTTATGATGTTAATTCTCACAAAAAACATAATTTACAAATAGGAATTGAACTATACTTTACTGACCTTTACGTTGACTTGGAAGCATCTGTTCGTACAAATAATTTATAATAGATCGATCTTAATGCATGAACTGTTTAAAAATGTAAGTAATAATCAGTTAAATCCTATTTATGTATCATTAATGAAAAATCTGGTGGTATCAATATAAAATGTTGAATAAATTCTAAATCATTGACATTAATTTGCTTGTAGTTCTAGTCAAATAATAATGATACTAACCTTTCACTTAGTGTTCAGTTGATTTTATTTCAAAGCACAAACGTATATATTCAAATTAAAATTTTCAAAATCATTTATAACGTCTTTTCGTTAACAACACCATGGATATATATCCTAACTAGCATCACTAACGTTTTGAGTTTTTGTTGCCTTTTTATCAGTCTTCTTTTTATTTCGACGTCGTTTATTTCTTCAGTTTCATATTAATTTCATTTTTTCTCTCTAAGGTTTGTTTATTTATTTATCTGTTTGTAAAGTGAATTGGATTGGGTGGGGTCTCAGAGCGCCGATTCTATTTTTTTTAATAATAGTCATTATTATTAAAATTAAATAATGTGATGGACCTTGATGGCCTCTGCACTGTACTTAGCATTTTTTTTCTGAAATTTTAAATTGAAATACTATCTTAACGAGTTTAGTTTAGTTTTATTAATAAAAAAATATACTAATTAAAACTTAAAATTAACTGCTTCAAAGTTTGTTAATAAAGAGATAAATAAAGTGATAATTCAAATATAAAAATAAATATAAATTTGATAAGTTGCCCAAGGGAAATAGCGGAAACATGCTAACTATAAAAAAATAAACTATAACATACAAATACAAACTATAATTAGTTAGTGGTATGTTTAGTAAAGTAAGACGAAGAACTGCTCACTAAAGAAAATGCCAGCATGTTAGAATCTGCTAACAGCTAAATAAATTATTAACTTGCTTTTTCTTACCTATACCATCATTACACCCAGCAAATAGTCCGTTCATCATTTCTTTAACTATCAGCATCATTTTGTTTTGTTAGAAATGGAATATGAAAGAGATAGATTTAATAATTTCAGATCCGTGCTGTCAAGTATGAAAGAATCCTTGGTTGCCCAGATTATCATAGTGTATTCATAGTTTAGCATAGTGATATGTAGCTATAATATTTGTTATTGCTCAATGAATGAGTGCTTATAACAGCTTGAAAGTTTTTTCTAACATTTTGATAGTTGTTAATTTGTGCATTCACTAGCATTACAGCTAAAAGGACTGTTGCATCGTGTGACCAAAAAATAGGGGTGTGTAATTGAGCTGTGATGAGAAACAAGAATATGTTACATCTCATTTTTATTTATGTTGTTTTTGTTGTCATAATTTTATAAATAGTTTTCAAATAATATTTATTATAAATTGTTCGATTACTGGTATTTATTAATATATCACCGTCATTTTAGATTTACATTCAGTTAACCAAGGACTTCACTATGAATTATTTCAATTAATTATAACATTTCTTGTAATGTTCAGGAAGTTAGATTTGATCGAACAAAGATGCCCATTATAGAAGGAATAGGAGATGAGGTTTTGTACACATTCATCGTAGTTCTCATATCAATAGTCGTAGCCCTGGTCTGGATGTCGACGTACGTCAACCCCAGAGACTACAATTATCTTGTGTACGTGGATCACTACATGTTTGACATGGGTAGGAGGTTGTACCAGGTGGTAGGTGGCGAGCTGACTGCATCAAACTTGGCACACCTGGACACTCCTAGAACTAACGAGGGCAGGGTGGCATCTTCATCTTTTCAACCGTCAGCACCTTTGGGCACACCAGAAATGTCATCATCCTTATCATCTGATGTTATACCATCCTACACTACATCATCAACATCCAACCTACCCGCTTGTGATTCATCATCTTCTGGTCTGCTAACAGATACATCCTCATCATCTTTTGGTCCAGTTCCAGTAAATCAACAAAAACCAGAGAACAACACACCTTCAACATGCTTGCACCCGAAATCGACTGTAACACCAACCTCATCAACTACATCAACCACAGCAACTACTGCAACTTCATCCGCCACGGCAACTACGATAGACCACCAACCATCCACATCTAGGCAAGATGATGATGTTGTGGAAAGCGCAAATGATTTACCACATAATAATGTTTCACACCATAATAATGATGCAACTTTGAACAATGGAAATGATACAACAGCCGACGACAACATTCCTGACGGTCACATTACTATCAAACTCCAGTTCATTGACGGCACACAAAGAGTCGTTCACGCCAATCCAGATGAAACTATAGGGGAATTTAAAAGGTGACCATATTTTAAGTTACCACAACCATTGCTTGTGTTCATTCTTATCATTTCATTATTATCACTTGTGAGAAACCTCAGCTCTGGACATTCATTCGATTTTATTTCAAGTGTTAACTCGCGATCTAAATCAGTGGCGGATTCAGAGATGACACCCTCCGACAATTTTGAAAACTTTTTGTAACGCCATAATTTAGGTGTCTTTTAAATTAAACCAAAATTAACAAGAAAAGCTAATCATCCTTTTCAACTGCAACATCCTGGATCCGCCAATGTCTAAAATTGCTGCTTTTTGTTTATTTTTCTAACATTATTTACCACTGAGTAAACATTTTTTTTCATAATTGAATAGATGGAATAAGAATTATTTTAATTGATTTTTTTGTCTTTGAAGGAGGAATTTCTCGGCAGAATTGGATTCTCGTTCGACGGTGAGGTTCATTATGAGTGGGCAGGAACTGAAAAATGAGAGCATGTCGCTGAGGTCGTACAAGGTCAGCCACAACATCATCATCCACTGCTTGATCCTGACCAGCCAACAAGCACCCACCTCGTCCTCAACCTCAGCAGCAACCAGGCAACAACGACGTGGGGGTCTCAATGATATCGGGTCCCTAGCATTTCCTATTTTCGGAATGGGACTTGGGGCCCTCTGGTATGCCCGCATATTTTATAGGGGGTATTTCAATGGAGCGTCCACAGTATCATTGCTGGCTATCACTTTTCTTTACGGTCTCTCTTTGATAGCTTCTTTCAGGACAGCCTCACCCAGCAATCAGAATCATCTCCACAGAGACTGAATGAATGAGATTGATCTCCTCCATATCATGAAGATCGTTCCTGCTACGTTGTCTTTGTCCTGTATTAACGTCATATCCATGGATATGTATTTATTTCAATGGTTTCAAAATGGGAGTTTATTACTTTTTATAGTCAGAATGGTTTAGATTTTATGACCTGCACTATCTCATCATCATCATCTAGTGTCATGTACAAGCACACACACACACACACACACACACACACACACACACACACACACACACACACACACACACACACACACATATATATATATATATATATATATATATAAGATATATATATATATATATATATATATATATATATATATATATATATATATATTGATTCATATTTTAAATAATTTTTTTTTTCGTTTTGCTTCCGATCGAACCTGTTTTGTAAATACAGTATAATTGAATACCAATTGTTGTATAGTTAGGAATTAACTCAAAATTCCCCATTTTCCTGTTATTATTACATAAAATATAATTTTTTCAAAATCGTATTTTCAAATATTCAGTTTTTGCCCGTTTGGAGCAATAAATTCACTGTAAATAAATTAAAGTGTTTAAGTGACTTATGACTTGAAATTTCAAAGTGATTAACGATTGTAGTCACTAGCAGCTTGACAACACCTCCTTTAAACAAAACTTTTTCTAAATGTTTCGAACCCTAGTTGAAGATAATATTTAATGAACTTCTTTCGCAGCTAACAACTACCGGTTCCGGTTTTTGATTTCGTTTCTTTTCTGCTTTCGACAGAACGTTCTTAGATTTTTCAATTTTTTTTAAATTTTCAATTGATAAGTAAATTTTTAATGAATTTTCTGATTAGGATCTTGAACGCCTGTTCCGCTGTAGAAAAAGAAAAAGATCCGCAATCAAACCCCTCCCCCCCAAAAAAAAACATTGTATATCTAACATGAAGAGGATGAGTAAAATGTCCTGAAAGGTGTGTATATGAGAGCTAATGTGACTGTCCTATATTATTTATAAATTGAACATTATAAACCATCCACGGAATGATTTATAAAACACGCATGCAATCACTGGATGATGGTATTAGCAAAAATCTAAAATATTTGCAGGAAACATTTTTCAAAATTTCAGTTGGTATCTGATTTATTTTATTTCATCCAAAATCATTTGGTTTTGAGTGACGACAAATGGAGATAAGACTCTAATAGAATTTACGTTGAATTGGAAATTACCCAGAAAATAGATTTCAAAAATATTTAGCACAAACTTAGAATAAATATTACAAATTGCAATTAATGTAAAGTTTTGCCAAGTTAGACAAGTTTGTTCCGATTCCGACACCCTGTGAACAAGAACTGATGGGAAGATTAAACTTCAACCTCTCATCTAATTAGTACCACTTCAAAGTTTATGCATTAACAACCACAGCTATATATAAATCTCTTCAATATTTTATTGTTTCCACTTTATAGTATGACAAGAAAATCACAGAGTGTGAATGCTTATCATTTCAAGTTGTTGAACCAATTAATTTCTGTTCAGTTTATTATAATTAAAAACACAGAAAATTTTGAATAAAATGACATCCTATTGTCTTTTTTTAATATTTTGAGTTTTCTTAATTGATTTCAGTTTTAATTTCTTAGAATTAACCGAATCTGCTCACTTGAAGATATTCAGTCAATGGCCTTTATATGATTATGCACGATTGTTGATAAAATTTAATCTAGTTCTAATAATTATATAAATAAATAAATAAAATAAATAAAAACCACAGAACTCAAGTTTTCCATTAGGCTATAAAAACTTTTTTTATGAAAAAGGCTATGATAAGCTTAAGTTTGACAGATTTTCGAAAAATAGAGACTGCTTTAATTAATGTCTTTCTGCTTTCAACTGCAGCCAGTTATCCAGTTCTAACAGGCTCAACCATTGTGCAAAGCTCGTTTGCGGTTTTATCATAAAATATTGTTTAGCTAATAGTTATTATTTCAGCTTAATAGTACATAACTGACAATTATGTTGAAACTCATTATTTAGAATACAAATATTTGGATAACAGATTTTTCTTGAAAGGTTCTAACGTTCTAACAAGTTTTCTCAATGCAGTCTAAATGATTTTCATGTAAAATATTGAAATCAGACAGAGGTGTGAAAGGCAAATATAACAGCAAAACTGATCGGCTTCCAAACAAGACCACATTATTTAATATTTTGGCTCTGCTAAATATTCTTAATTTTTTTTCAAAATCCAATGAAAACTGATAAATGCTACAATTAATAGTCCTAGCGTGATTTGAAATTTTATTTGGTCGAACAGATTGGATGGTTTCTTCCGAACTGAAAAGTGAAAAATTTGATAATTTAAACTGAGAAAAATAACTTGATTGTGCTAACATTTTGATTACACATTATGCATTGAACGGGTGAGGGTGCATACAAATTACCAGACTCTGCTAACAATATCAGCTGTTAAATTTGCTTGTAAAGACTAGCTTCATTTGAAGAAATTTATGGGACTAAATAAGACATGTTGATTTCAATTGCTCGAACTTTTGTCATCATGCTTTGTTTTCACTCTCGTTACAACTGTCGCATTAACATTTTACTACGTTGTGAAAGCTTAAGGAGGCAATGAACTTCAGTTATATAATCAAAAAGGTAGTAACTTTCTGCAGTTTCAATATATGTCTAGATTGAGCTGGTTTGTTACTCCAAGATGAATTTTAATTTACATCAACACCAACAAATCGACCACCAAAAGATAACAGTTTCGCCTAACAAAAACAACAGCGAACAAAATATCGAAATAATTGAAATCTTCGACAGAAGAATAGAACCATCGTTGGAGGAATTGGACTCTGGAGATGACGAGGAAAGCGATGCAGCTGCTTATCAGGAAGGAGAATCAGAAAATGCTGATGGCAGTGATCGATGCTGTCATGTCTGTTGCTCGTGCTTGCAACAATCCAGACACGAGTTTGTGAGCACCTCCAAACAGCTCGCCGGATTTCTAAAAAACAGATACACTTTGCAAACGCACGATGATAATGGTAATATGGGCAAATTTAGATGGGTAAGTCGAATGTGGAGTTACCTGCAAATCATCTTTCCATGTCTTATTTGGCTGCCCAAATACAGGTTTGTTCAAATTTTTGTGTTGTCCACTAAAAGTGTATACGAATTCATAAGAAAAAATCTTTTAATATCACATAAGATTTTGATCAAAAATTTAATAATTATAAATGATGTATTACTTATAGTAAACAACTTACCATTTTTGTTGCATGCATATTAAACTCAATGTTTCAAAAAACGTCACGATTTTGAGTTGTGTGTCGCAGAATGACTCTAATGTACAACCATTAACTCTTTATTGTTATATGAATTTTATTAATGGAAAATTATAATTAATTAATTTCCCAAATGAAAAAACTTACACTAAGCTAAAAGACGAAATAAAATGTAAATACGTGTAACTTGTATGCACGTGTGTGTGTGTGAGTGTGTGTTTGTGTGTGTGTGTGTGTGTGACCAATCCTGATCAAAAAGGTCATAAATCAGACGTTGCTTATTCAAATAAAAGAATCACCATAAATAAACACACACACACACACACACACACACACACACACACACACACACACACACA